GGGATTTGTGTGGGATAAATTATAGATTTCCCCCATGTGATAACGTCCAATGATTCTATCCTCTTTCTTTTGATTACAGACCTCAATCCTTTCATGTTTAATATAGCTATCCTTACTTTATTAACCATATTATTTTTCTAAATCTTCTAAATTGGCTCTTTAGTGTGATACCCTACACACATCCTTTCCCTCCCTCCCTCTTTCACCCTCCCACCCTTCGCTTCCCTTCCCTCTGCCCACAGATACATTTCTACCCCCCTCCTTCCCCAAGGTATCCAACTTTGCTCATGGCTTTTACTAGCCCTTGTGGGGGTGGGGAGAAAAAGCCACCATTCCCAGTGTGCAATCATTTTTTCTCCTCCTGATTGTTTATCAATTGCCTCTCCTGTTATGTCATTTTTTTCTAGGATTTTTAAAAATTATTTTTATTGTCTTTGTCCTTATCTTCTATGGGTCCTTGGCTCCACCAGTTGCACCCTTGCCAATGTTTTCTTCTTGCTGCTCCAGATTTAATTGCTTCAACAGATCCATTCCTTGTTCCAGGGAATAGATTTTATGCTGCTTCCCTTTCCACTGAAATTTCAGGAAAATAGGGTAACCCTAACTGTATCTTATTCCATTCTTTTGCAGTACTGCAATTCATGGTTTGACTCCTCTTCTCCAGCTGATAGTCTCTGGGCAAAGATCATTATAAATTTCAATTGTAGTATCCCCATAATTCAGTGATCTTGAGAGATTCCTGATTTCTTTCATTAAAAGTTCTTTCTTATAAAAGCTTGTTACTCTCAAGATTACGTCTTTGGGAATCAGACCTCTTTTTTAAAGTTGTTGCTCTGTGTAGACATTCCACTTCCTGTTCTTCCCAGGTAATTTGAGGAACAATACTTTGTAGCCTTTTGAGAATTTTTTTCTTCAGAGTTCTTGGTGTTTCATTTGCCAACTCAGGAAAACCATGGATATGAAGGTTATTTCTTCTGTTGCGGTCCTGCAGGTCAATGATTTCTTATTCTAATTGGTCCAGTCCTGATGAGTGTTCCAAAGTTATCTTTTGCTGAGCTTTTTGTTCATCTTGTATTGAGTTTATTTTCCCCCTTCAATTTCTTTTTTAATTATCTGAATAGATTTATTCATTTCATCCATAATTTTAGTAGTTATTGTCTCTGATAGTGTTTCATTATTTTTAATAATTGTCTCTTTAAAAGCCTCATTGCTTTTGACTTGATTTTCTCATAACACCTGCAAGAACCATGTTTTCTGTCTGGCTAGGTGCCTGGAACTTTAGGCTTAGCTCCGGCTTTTTGCATTGTATCAATAGCAGCTTCATTTATATACTGCTTCATACCGCACTATGCAGTGTCTAAGCAGTTTAAAACTGTAAGCTCATTGCCCCCCAACAGCTGGGTACTTAGTGACCTTGGAAGGATGCAGGCCTGAGTCAAGCCTGAGCCCTGGCTAGTACTGAACTTGCAACCTTGTGGTTTATGAGTAGGTGGCTGCAGTACAGGCATTTAACCACTGTGCCACCAGGGCTCCTTTTGCATTTCTTTATTATAGCCTTTTGCATTGTAGCCTTTTGCATTTCTTTATTATGAGCCTCAAAATTCTCTTGTGAGTTTACTCTTGTTAAATGTACAGAATCTTTGTCTGATGGATGTACAGATTGTCTCTTCCAACTTAAAACTGTTTCTTTCAGATCTTTTTTTTTAATCTTTTGGACATCTGCTGACTTGTAATCAATGTTGTGTCTCAAATTGCCGACATGCAGTTTATTATATTTTTCTCTCTGTTTGTTCATTAATTAATATTTCAGTATTGCAATTCTTCAAATCCCACACAATCTGATACATTTATTTTAACTGTTTTACTTTGCTTTTGTTTTATAAATCTTAAATTCTGATCAGCTTAGCAGACAACTGGCTGGCAATTGCTGAAAACAAAAATGTCACTTATTTATCTTTCTTCTTGTTAAATCTTTAATTAGGCAGTTCCATTCTATTCTCCTCACATTCCAATTTATTTGTAAATACTCACAGTATTTTTTTCCATTTAGAAGAAATTCTTTGGCTTATCAAGTTTTGGCTTCAGGAGAATACAATCTCAGCTCCTCACACCATCACTCATGTCTCCACCCCCATTGTCTTTTCTAATGAGACATACCTTCTCATGATGTAGCCAAAGTATGACAGTCTCACTTTAATCATCTTTGCTTCCAAGGAGACTTCAGGCTTTATCTGTTCAAGGACCCATTTATTTGTCTTTTTGGTTGTCCACAGTATCCTCAGCACTCTGTATTCTTACGAATTAGCCTGCAGAATCTTGCACAGGAGCTTCTCTGCATGCACAGGAGCTTCTCTGCAGTGGTGCCATGGAATGCTCTCCTCTTGAGACTCAACTAGCACCAATATCGAGCTCATTTTGGCAGAATGTTAAAACAGAGCTCATTTGCCACTACACTAGCTTGAGTCTGGATTTCTCTTTTAGCATATGTGGTGTAGTGGTTTGAGCACTGGACTATGACTCTGGACACCAGGGTTCAATTCCCTGCTCAGCCATGGAAACCCACTGGGTGACCATGGGTGAGTCACACACTCTTAGGCCCAGAAAACCCCATAATAGGGTCACCTTAGGGTCACCATAAGTTGGAAATGATTTGAAGGCACATAATAACACCAACAAATTCACTATTGTTTTTTAATTAGTGGAACTAGCATGGGGTAGTGGTTTGATTGTTGGACTAGGACTCTGGGAGGGACTCTCCACAGCCATGGAAAACTACTGGGTGACTTTGGACAAGTCATATTCTCTCAGCCTCAGAGGAACACAAAGGCAACCTCCTCTGAACATGATATGTCAGATCCATATGCATGGTTCTGTCATGATGATATGATGTAATGATGATATGATGATAAGATGATATGATGATATAGCATTATGATAAGATGTTTATTGAAAGGGGAATAGGAAATATGTGGGAACCCAAGCTTCAGAAATAACAGGAGAGGCAAATGGCCAGAGGCAAGGGAGATCTGTGGGTTTTGACCCTATTGCAAGCGGATTGGGGCTGTAAACCAGGGATGCTCTCCTTCCTCAAGTGCAATTGAATGGTAATGCAGAAAAGGAAAGAGGAAACAGGAAAGGTCACTTTGATCTGAATCAAAGGCTTGAGATCATAGCCAGGGAGGGGGGCTGGCTGATGGGAAATCTTAGGTATGATCCAGGAGGGAAGCTTTTCAGTTCTGACATAAACCCTGGACATTCTGTCTCAATTTCTGGAGTAAAATATTTTGTTTTAATCACACTAAGATGTTCTCTTGGTTATTAGGAAGTGAGTCTTCTGATCTTGACATGATAGGGCATTCCATCTCTGACCTTAGGATAGCTGCCCTTCAACAAAGAAACTACAGAGGAAGATTGGAAAGAGAAATAGCTAAATTGGAATATATCCACAAATTCCAGACCATCAATAGTGGGTTGACAATGACTTCCTGGTACACCACACATATTATAAAACTAGGTAACACCCCCAGCCTCATGAGGGCACTCTTGGCCAGTTTATCCTGTCTTCTTTCTGGTTCTCAGATAGAATAACACAAGTTGAAAATTCTCCCTACCATTCAAATAGTCATCCATCTACCCTGACCCCCTGCCACTGTCCCTCAACTACCATTGATAAAACTGAACTTGTCACCTCGTCACCATACTCACAAGTTTCACATTTCTATGGCTATTCATACAGTGTGATTATAAAGGTCTTTTCACTAGTTCACACTATGCATCTGAAGAAGTAGACTAAAGTCCAAAACACATTGCAGAAATAACTCAGCTTGAGACCACTTTAACTGCCCTGGTTCAATGCTAGGGAATTCTGGGCACTGCAATTTTGTGAGTCTTGTAGCCTTCTCTGTCAGAGAGCTCTGGTGCCACAATAAACTACAATTCCCAGGATTCCCTAGCACTGAGCCTGGATAGTTAAAGCGGTCTTGAACTGGACTATTTCTGTAGTGTGTTTTGGACCTAAGTCTTCAAAAGCTTATGCTACAATTTCTTTCTCTCAGAAACAAGTTTATCGCACAGCACTTGCAGGAATGGGAACTGAATGGAACGGCACAGAATGGGGCAAGAACATATGTTACTGCACAGGTGATTGCCACTGATGCTGCTAGGAGTCCCCAAGCCATTCCCCAGCTGTTCCTGGCAGCCAATTTTGAAGAACAATTCTGAACCGTTCTTCAAAATCAGCTGCCAGGAACAGTGGGGAACAGCTTTGGGATTCCTGGTGGCATCGGTGGCATTCTCCTGTGTGGTAACTTGCATTCTCTCCCTGTTCCATGCCGTTCCATTCAGTTCCCATTCCTGCAAGTGCCGTGTGATAACCTTATTAGTCCCAAAGGTGCTACAAGATCACATTGCACATTATAAGTTTGCCTTAGAGTTGACATGAGCCAGTAACAACTGGAAGGCACAGAACAACAATTTTAAAATTGTTTTGGATTGATTTAAATTGTTGAATGTTGTTTTATTGCTTAGATTATAGGGTAGGATGTAAATATCTGAATTAATTAATTAATTAATTAAGGTATGTGTCAAATTATGTTAAGGGCCAGTTTAGTGCTGGGGGGAAATATGCATGGATTTTTCCAGTCTAGATTATGTGTTTGTGTACACATACAAGCAAGATGTTTGAATCATTAAAAGGTCACTCTCCTGCCTCATTTCTTGATCCTAGACCAATTTTCCTACAATCTTTGATTCTGCTCTGTTTTCTGTTTTTGCATTCCAATCACCTATGATTAATGAGGAGCCCAGTTTTGGTGTGTGATCAATTTCCTCCTGGACTCCAGGATAGAATCTTTTAATTTCTTCTTCTTCTGACTCTGTAGTTGAGCATAAACATGCATTAAAGTTATATTGATGGTCACATTATCAGATCTTAATTGCCATTCACCAAACTGCATCCCCAAAAGCCCTCTTTTTTCAATTTGCAAAAGCTTTTTACAGTATTTCAAGGCTTCAGATAGTACTCAAAAGTCTGCTGGTGGAGCAGTAAACTAAGGACAGATAGCAAATAGCATGTGTAAACAAGCTCTGTAAAAATTCCACCAAGCAGGAGATAAATTAGAGTAAGTTAAAATAAAATAAACAAATAATACAGGGCTTGAAAAAGCTAGGCAAAATAAAACGACTGGGCAGATTAAGAGCTTTAAAAAACACATCAAGATTTTACTTCATCAGAAGGTAAAAATGCCAATACTCTTTAGATCACACCCTATTGTGCCACCACCATTTTTGTTCTCTGTTCACAACATGAGCTCCAACATCTTTTGCATCACTGAAAAAAAGTCCAAGGACACACTTTTTAAATCTTTGATGCAAAATGCAGGAAAATGTTAGGGGTTGACGTGAGACATTCTTAGGATCGGATAAATGTGGAGGGAAATTGGATATTCCTAGTTAAAGTGGAATTCCCCACTGTATGCGGCTCAAAGCATAGAGGACACTGCTATGAGGACACAGCTGGTTGATGTTAAAGATCACAAAGGAAAGAAAAATTATAGCAAGCTGTTGTGGAGACAACCAGAAATGCTACTAGAATTGTGTCAGATAGTCTCAAATTTGTCCCCTTCCTCCAGCTTTGCTGTCCGTTTATGTGCTGGGCATTACCACTGTGCCTAGTGGTGTTGCTGGGTGATGTGGGTGGTTCGGGGGGGGGGGGTGAACACCCAAGGAGGACAATCACCCATTCTCTGTCTTAACTCCCCAGCCACCAACCAGAGTGCCTCTGCAAAAGGGGGGAGGACTCTGTTGCAGTGTTGCCCTCCCCTCCTTCCCAGTGGCTCACCCACCTGCCCGGCCATCCATCCAAGTCCTTCTAGGTCTGGCTGGGCAAGCAGGCAAGGTGGAGAGAGAAAAGGGAGCAGGGCCATCTGCCAGCTCACCTGCCCTCTTGGCCAGCCACTCAGGTTCTTCTGGGTCTGGCTTGGTGAGCAGGTGAGGCAAACAGAGGGAAGGGGGGCAGGGTCATCTGGTGCTGCCACTGCCCTTCACTTGGTGATACCAGATCTAGTGATGCCTTTGGATGGGCCATAGGATGATGATGCCTTGCTTGCCAACTTGCAGCATTGCACCAATTAGTGTTGCAATGGTTTGAAACAGCCTGGGTTGGCTGACAGTGGCAACACCAAGAGAAGACATAAAAGAATTGCTTGATGCAGCATAATCTACAGAAGGCTGGGCAGCTGTTTGAATTACCCTGAATATCTAATGGAAGGGAATATCAAAATACATTTCTG